GTAGTTAGCTAGCAAATAACTTGTCCTTGGGCATACTCCAAGGTTTGTATAACCTTGTGCATGACTCCTCTCCCGTGTAATCCAAGGACTCAAATTCTTGCCTTCCTTTTGTTCTTAGCAAGAAAGGACTAACATACCTCTTTATTTCGATTTTTATTTTGCCGCTAAGTCTCAAACAATATCCCGAGGACTCCTTTGTCACTTTGTCTCATTTTTCTTGTGTTCTACACGTTCTCTTATGTCCTTGGGTGCATTTTTAGGTTTGAAAATGTCCATGGACTTCAATGAATCTAGTGATGACGAAATCCTAGCCCGACGACTCCACAGACGCGGCCACAAAGCTAACGTTTATATGGATGGGGTCATGTCCAAACTTGTAGAAGATGACATCCGTAGGTTCTATTCCAAACGTTACATTCCTGACACTTGGAATTTCTATATTCCGGAGCCCAAGGAAGGAAATTTGGGCGAAGCTCCTCCCGGATGGCTTTGTCTTTACGAAGACATGTTCAAATGCGGTCTACGGTTCCCTCTACACCCAACCATCATTGAGATCTTAAATTTTTACAACATTTCTCCCGCTCAGCTAACTCCTAACGCTTGGATGATTATCGTGGGGTTTGTCCTCCTCGGGGCCTCAGTACCCATACCCACGAACGCTAGAGTCTTCAGTTCCATTTACCGCCTCCAAAATCACCCTAGTTCCGAAGGTCTCTTTTATGTTGTGTCGAGGTCATGCTAAACCCCTGGTAGAAACTTCCAAAGACACAAAATATTGAAATTCCAAGTACTTCTACGTTTATTCGGGTGATCCTTGGAACTTCCCCTCTGATTGGAGCGACGAGGTTTGTCGGCCCGTTGAGTCCGAGCTCTCCAATGACGAGGATAAGGCTAAGTTGGCTATTTTGCTTAGAGGTCCAACGAGCTTAGCCTTTTTACTAAAAGAGAAGAATCTGATTGCAGCTCGCTTGAGCCATGCTCCACCGACTAAAATTGTCGACCTTAGTACGAACAAACCGTAGTCTTTAATAAGTATTGCATGCACTCTTATTTTTTTTATCTTGATTTTTACCCGTTTCTTTCGTTCTTTTCTTAGGTATGGAGGTGAACAAAGCCAAGAGGATCAAGATCAATGTGAACAGGAGCAAGGTCGTGGCTGATGCCACCCAGAGGTTAGAGTCAGGAGTTCCCCCGAGAAAGGTGCTACGACCTTGTATTTCGAGGCCTCCTCCTCCCCGGATGTCTCCAGTCTCTGAGGTTGACATGGTCGCTGGCGAGGGCAGCGGAACCGGAGGTCCCCAGATGCTTATCGAAGGAGGCCTTGACCAGGTCTATCATCCATCGGATAAGTTCATTCCGGAGTGGGATGTCGGTGTCGATGACAATATGTTGGATCGCGACACTGCTGTGAAGATGATGAGCCACCTTTTACCCCGTGGAGATAGGGAGGGTCTTCAGGTTGCAACATCTGAGGGACTGTCTGATGACGGCTATGAGTACTTAGCCAAGGTAACTAAAATTTCCATTGTTCTTATGTTGCCTCCAAAATTTTACTAAGTTTTTTCTGTCTTTCAGCTCCTTCGCACTCACCAGGGCATGGTGGACAAGATTGCCCATGGGAGCCGGAGGATTCTTGAGATGAGGGACCTGCTCTAGCGTAGCGAGGCCCTTCAGGCGAAGGCTGGAGAGGAAAGCGAACGACATCATACGGAGGTGACGCGCTTAAGGGCTCTCGTCGAAAAGCTCGATCTGAGGATTAAGGGTATGGACTCGAGCCTTGACGAGGCTAACAAGAAGGCAGAGGACGCAAGTAAGAAGGCTGAGGACACTACTGAGGCGAACTCGGACTATTGGCTCGACGGGTTTGACGCCTGTAGGCAGCTGGTTGGTACCCTTGACCCCTCATTTGATCTTACCCGCCTTGTTCCTGAGTCTGTTGATCCCTTGACAGGCGAAGAGGACGTCGACCCCTCAGCTGCTGGAGGTGTTTGATTGTCACCTCCGCACTTGTTGTTTCCTTTCGTCATTTCCGAACTTGTGTGTGTGNGCAATAGTTCTCTACTGCAATCCTTTTTCATTTTTTTTTTTTTTTTATTTTGATAGCGGCAATGGTTTTCCACTGCGATTCTATCAATGGAGGTAGCGGCAATGGTCGTCCATTGCAATTCTACCATTGGTTCTATCAATGTCGGAAATCAAAACAAAATGCAACTTTTATTGAAATAGTTTTGAGTACGAAGTCTCAATTTGCAAATCCTACGCTAGAGATAGGGGAAACAACTTAACATAAAAGCAACTACTGATAGTATTTGCGCAAATGTTCTGCATTCCAGGACCTTGGTATAGGCTTTCCGTCTAAGTCCTCCAACTTATAAGTGCCTTCTTTCACCGCTGCTCGGACACGGTAAGGGCCATCCCAATTTGGAGATAACTTGTTGTGCCTTTCCTGGTAGTTGAACTGAGCTTTCCTGAGGACAAGCTCT